GGGCTGTTAAGGAGAATGAGAATCCTTTTCTGCCCAAGCCATCTTATTTTGAAACACAGGGAGGACATGGTTACTTGTAGGGAGAAGGAAGCTCTTTCAGCAGTATTTCACTGCTCTGTGCTGTTTTCTGTTAAAACAACAGGTCTTTTAGAACATAACTGTAACCAAGCTACCACCCCGTAACAATCTTTTGCCTTTCACACGTAGTCTCTCATATGGAAAGGTGCCATTTGATCCATGGTGTGTGCTCCCTGACCATCTCGCAGAGCATTACTTCAAATGGTGCACTCCAGAGAATATCACCAATTCCCCTTCCCTTGCAACTTCCAGTATTGGGATATTCCTGGATAAAGGAAGCCATAAGGATGAAACGATATGATTGATATAGACCATACACATTTGAAATGGATTAAAAATCTAAATGCCGTATGTTTTTTCTATATATAATATTTGGTTTTGACACGCTAGAACAAGCTTGGTCAGCATATGAATAAAAACAGGTTTCTGTCAGGGTCCAGATGACTACTCAGCTTGCTGCCATCATATTTTGGAGTGGAACACCCATAGTTTTGTATGTCATGCAGGGATTGCCTGCAGCTGACAAAGACAGCAAGCCAAACTCTGCTCTCAGTTAACTGAGGTAAATAGAGTGGCTTTCCTGGAACCAGAACAGGCATGCTGGGCTGTCACCAGGTAACTGAGCACATAGGTGGACCATTGTCCCACTTACTGAAACCAGTGCAGTCCAATAACTTGAGCAGAGTTTCTCCTACTTTCATTAGTACAGTAGAGCAGAATTTGGTTTTCTGCCATCTTTCTTTTCTGAGTGTACATGGTTTTTAGCTACAATATAAAAACCCATGAGAAAAAGTTCTGTTAATTTGAATAAAGCAAGATTTTAAATAAAATTTACTAGGCTCAAGGGGGAAGGAGGCTTTTTGATAGTGTTTTGAAAGATTTTTGATTTTTTTTTCAGGAAACAGAGTTAATTTGGAATAAAAAAAAAAGTATATTCTGTAAACGTGTTTATCTTGATGAGTTTAGGCCCTCACTCAAGCAGAAAAAGCTTCTAACTGGCTCTTTTGTAACTCCTTTGAACTTTCATTTATACCAGAACTTCCTTACACAAAGCAGGAAAGTGGATTTCCTGTCATACAGAAAGTACTAGTTCAGACATCTTAAGGTTATCTCACCACAACGTTCTTTAGCCACTCTTCTGACAATTTAAGATAACAGATTATTAAAAACATATAGTCTATGTTGTTATTCTTAATGTTGCTATTGGTAGCAAAGTTCCATTGGCAGTTGTACAGCCATGAAATTTTTCAAGTAAGTATATCTCACTTTTTCACTTTTATTTTTACAAGTGGACTCCCTAAAACTAAGTAAACCTTTACAATCTTCAGAAATTTTCTCCATATAAAAATACCATCTGACTTCTATATGTGCAGAAGACAGTAAGCATTTTTGACACACTGTTCACTACTTTTCATCTTATACCTGCCCCTTAATATAGCTACAATTCTGACAACTTTCATGACCTTAAAAATCACAAATAAAATTACTAGCATTTCAAGTGGATGAAAAACTTTACTATCCTACCTAAAAGAGCAAAAAGAAATAAAAAAAAAAATCACAGATTAGAAAGACAAGGTACCAAAGCCTAGAGTATGAGACCAGGGAAAGATTTTAATTATTTTTTTAAAAATCAAATAAAGTAGACCGTTAAAAAACATTTTAATGTGTAAGACATGGATTTTAACAGATTTATTTCCTAGTGAATTAGAAAAAAATCTTGAAGAGAGGCAGAGTAAATGGTGAGAAAAGGCAAAAAGAAGAGCAGGAGAGGTAAAATAAATTATGCAAGGGGTAAAGCATAAGAATTCAGTGTTGTGGCAATCAAAAAAAAGAAAAATCTGGAAGGAAAAGTGATGAAAGAATTTAGAGACAAAATAAAGGAACAAGTTGGTGGGTATGGGGCAACAAAGGGGAAATCAGGACCTCAGAAACAGCTCCTAAATCTACAATAACAAAGAAACTGCATGCTATGCTGTGTGCCTTATTTAAACATAACTGCCTTAAGACCAGTAATGTAGCTATAGAAGTACAAAGCTCAGTAGAGGATGATAATCCTGAGGCAATGGTCATATACTCATGCAATCAACCTGTGCTAACTACACTGTTAGCATTCAAATTAGCTAGTTCAGGTCTGTTTCAGCTGAAATTATATCACTGACTGCAGTACATCCGTCTATGTGACAACATACAAAAGTTCTTTCCCACTTATCTTCACTACATAAAGAAAGAAATGAAAAAAGAAAAAAAAGAAAAAAAGCTTCTTAAAAATCTGTTACCCTGTAATTATTCCTTTGTCCCAGCATGCCTTTCTGGAATGGGTCCTTTTAAATCCAATAGTAAATTTTTCTAGAAGCCATTTTGACTACGTCATCCTTCCTTCAATTGTAAGTACCTGTAATTTTTATGATCTCATTGATTTTGCTTTTTCTATTACTGGAGAGGTGGGGTCTCATAGATAACTGGTCCTGTGAGAAAAAAGTTGTGGACTTACAGGGCTTGAAAATTACTGTCTTAGATAATATGAGATTTGAGCAAGATCAGGACTATAGAATTTTGTGGACACTATGGGCTGTTTTAGAGACTGAGTTTACCTTGGGACCTTGATGTTACAGGATTTACTACTCTTCTAAATCTGTAGGTTGTTAGCTAATTGTAAATAGTTTTCTTGAGGAAATGGTTGCAATGTGCTTCCTATATGTTTATCTTATTCCTAGATGCTTGTTTTCACTTGGAAAAGCTAACAAGTACATATTTACAAAATGAGGAAGGTGTGTCTTCAGTTTGGCTCTGTGCTTTTTTGTGGCTGAAGCTCTTGGTAAGAAACTTGAATTTTTTTTTTTCTTTTATTAATTTATTCAACAGCAATATTGTAGTTTGTGCTTAGCTTGGTCTGCAGTGATACAGAGACCACGTCCACAAGTACTAGAGGAGCCACAATCATAAGGAGTATGTTCTAGTATGTCTGGGCGTATGCAGAGGGTTATTTTTTGAAACAGTTGCCTTCTAGAAATTTGGGCGGGCAGGGGGTGGCAGAGGCTTTGTAGCATTTGCTGTGAATTCACCAGCAGTAGCACATACAGAGTAGGCCAGACTGGTTTCGTATCATGCACCATGGACTTCAGTGAAGAAAAAAAAAAAGTAGATTTTTTTTTTCCTTCTTTGAAACCTCCCTAGGATAAACTCAAACTTGAATAAGGAAGTGTGTGTAGGAAAGATCAGAGCTGTTGTTCATTATGTAGCAACTATCAATATTTTCCTCATGCTACACAAAGCCAAATGATCTCTTAACTTTTTTTCTGATAGCTTGCCCTCAAAAGAAAGCCAACAAAAGAATAAAAATGAAGCTTTTACATTTTAAAGCTCTTTCAGTCTTAACAGTATTTTTCTTATTTTACACTATTTTACTGTTGCAATGTTCTGCTCATTCAGTCCAGAGTACTTCTCAGTCAAATATCATGATATTGGGGAGAGGGGAAGTATGTCCTAAATATTGGCAAATGCATGCTCTCTTTTCCTCTCATTGTTTTTTGTAAAGTTTAAATATAATTACAGAAGTCGACTAGTTAAAATAAATGTAGATATGAACATTGCAAATATTGCCAAAACTATATCAGCCTTTCTGCTGTCACTTTAAAATCAGTGCAAGTTTCTGCGAACATTTGCTTCCAAGCTCCTTTTAAATTTTTTGGACTTTCTTTTGTATTTTCTTGATATAACTGTGGTTTAGAAAACAAACAAAAAAGCTGTGGTTCTGAGCTAAAATGTATAAAGATTTGCTTCTTTTTTGCATTTATATATTTAGTGAAATAAAATGCATCATTTTATTATATCTTACAATGTCTTCATTTTTTTTCATTATTAATAAAATTGTACGCAAAATACAATATGGCTTAAAAGCACAGTGTTTCCCAGTTGAAGTGAAGAACATTTGTTGATTAGCTCCAATGAGGACCAGTAGCAAGATGCTGTGGAGCTTTGGTTTCTCTATTATATGGTACTTATCAATTATGAATTTAATGGTTTGAATATACCTAAATGTTATAACTTTAACTGCTGTTTATAAGCAAATGTGGAAAAATGTCTATATGGTGGGTAAGGTGTTGCCCTAATATTCAATAGCTCTTAGAATTACTTCCTTATTCAACTACAGACTCAAAGGTTTTGCAGAAGATCATTCAAATTCTGTTATTCCTCTCAAAATGGGAAATGTGGTGGTACTAAAACTGATTTTGAAAACAGGATGGCTACAGTGATAAATATATTAACATATGTTGTGAGACAGCATTCACTACTTAGCCCGAGATGTAAGAAAGAGTATCTGCTGGCAATTCTGACATACTTTTTTTGATACTAGAAAGCCTTCCTGTCTTTTGCATGTACTAAAATCTATCCTTAATCTTTACATTTATGTTTTTTCCCCAAGCTTCCACCAACACAGATTTTTATGAAAGTAACAGATGCCAAGTTTATGTAAAGGCTAATTCCTCTTCTTCCAGATGACCCACTTATGGTATGTATCAGTGTACTACAGTGAACCCATAATCATCTGGCCAATGCACATGTTCATTCCATTGTACAGTGTCCTACAAATTCTGCAGACTTACTGAGAGAACCACAGCTGCCTAACCACACTGCCTACTGCATTGCTCAAGAGAAGTATTATGGGTAACGGTCTAATGGCTTTCCTTAAATATCTTACCAAATAAACATCTCTCTAGTAAATCATACCTCAAATTTAAATAAGCAGTAGGAATAAATGAAGTCTTTTCATTTTCTGAAATAAGAACAATATCTTTGATAAATAGACAGGATCTGCTTACGTAATCTGTTTCAGGTTAAGATCACTTTAATATTGTTTTGCATTCACTACTTCAGCTGCCTCTTCCTATATGATGCTTATTATCAGAAAAGCAAGCAATTACCGAGACAATCTCGTCCTCTGCCGGTACAGTTGCTGCTGATAGTGCTGCTGCCAGTGCTGCTGCCCTGGCTGCCTTCCTCATTGCTCTCTGAGTCTGAAGATTGGTAAAGTAGTTGACAGCTGCAAACTCAATAAGTGCCGAGAAGACAAAGGCAAAGCACACAGCTATGAACCAATCCATGGCGGTAGCATAGGACACCTTGGGCAAAGAATGGCGTGCACTGATGCTTAAAGTGGTCATTGTTAGAACTGTAGTGATTCCTTGAAAGTAAGAGAAAGAAAATGAGAGCATTAGAATTTTGCTTCAACTCTGCTACTCTTAAATTCATATATATTTAAAAAAACCCAACTCCTCTTTGGTTTTACCTGTCATCCTACGTACCAGCTAACCAACAAGTATTTTGTATTCTTAAGTAATGCGTGTATACTGGCTTCATCATCTAAAAGTTCTGAACAAACTTCCTTAAGACACCGAGCAGACTGAAAGTTAACAACATACTACATAGCGTAGCTTCTTACAATTGTGATAAACATGGGTATAACAAAATTCAGGCTTAAACTATAAAAGACACTCTACTTGAGGGGTTAGTAAGTGGAATCTCTGGCAGAAATTACATACTGTCATTTCCCAACAGTGATCCTCTCTTTCTCCTGTTGTTGCACGAGACAGATCATAGCTTCTAGAACCCTCACTGAATCAATCCAATTCTGCATTGAAATCAGTGGTAGACTATGACTGAAATATTTCTAGTAATAAGAGTTTGGTCCTCTGTGCAGTTTTCTTTAATTACTGGGTACATTCTTTAAGATTCACTAACAGTATCTTGATTTGAAAGCACCCATAGTTACACATATGGCAGGATAGAAAAGCTACTTCTCTAGAGCTGCTTATCTATTTTCACACAACAAATCTGGTCATGTAACTCATGGGCCCCATAGTGTTCTTCACATAAACTCATGAATTTATTCTTTCTGTTTTGGAGTGTACAGTATTAATAATGTAGGAAATACATTTACTTCCCACTGCTGCCCAATACAAGCAAAAAGTGCAAGAGCTAGCGCATTCATTAACATATAAGCCTCTGTGACTCATGTTTACTTAAAATTATGCCTGCTAGAATGTGAAAACTGCAGGTATTTAAAGACAGTAAGGTAGAAAATACCCTCTTCTGCTCTTTTCTGCAGTTGGAAAAGGGTAGGTGGGAAAGTAAAGGATGTTATAATGTCATGTTGTGATGATGAATCAATATGCTACGAATGATGCTCAGTGGAAAGGATGCAGTGTCATTGCATACTGCAGCATCAAGACAGGGTGACTTGATTATTTTCAGAGGTTTTTTTGCAACTCTCTCACATGATGTAGCTTGCCAGCTGTCTGAGGTTAACCATGTCCCAATGTCATTACTTAACACATTTTAATGAAATGCAAATAGGAGATGGTATAAAAATATGTAGGATCTCTACTTCTCCCAAATCTGCCAAACTCATTTTATAATGTGAATACAAGTATGCTGAGATATATTTCAATTTCAAAGGTCCAGAATGAACTTTTCAATATGATGTGTGATTAGATTAGAATCTGTCCATGTGCTAGTTAGTAATAAAGATGATATATTCTGTGTCTGAATAAAAAC